GTGGGCTTGCTCCATCACTGCGTTACTCTCTCTCTCTCTCTCTCTCTGTCTCTGTCTCTCTCTCTCTCTCTCTCTCTTACTTTTTACACATTGTTAACGAGCCTTTGTCCCTGCTATGACCGATAGGGCTCCGATGAGGCCCTGTTATTGCCCATAACTTTTAATAGAGACAAAGAGTAGGAAAAAAAGGGGATTAAAAAAATCTCTGTTACTACCAGGCAAGTTATATATGGTTTCCTTTGCAGTACATAATTCACAGTTGCCAAACAAGACCCCCACCCCCACCCCTCCCTGGTACAAAGACTCAGTGAACCTGGAGGTGAAAGATTTCATGACTCGTGCATACACACAGAAGAGAATGAGTCCAGCAGAAAGGCAAGTTTTCCAAAAGTATTTCAATAATGTCTTGCCTTACCTCTCTCCCCATCCCCTGCCCCCTCCCTCGCCATTCTGATAAATTAAGTCCAAGCAGTTTGTAAACTTTAAAATCAAGCAGCTTTTTTCCTTGATTATTATTTGGGGAGGGGAAAGAGGGTGGGGTGGGTGGGGGGGTAGTAATACCAGGAGCATTTTTTCCCACCTACAAGATGTGATTTCTTCCATAATATCTTCCTCTAGTTATTGAACCGGTAGAGTGCTTATAAAGGTACATGAATTACAACTATAACATAAAATTAAGTTCAAAGTTGAAAGATCAGCACTTATATAATATGCCCTAATTGTGCTGTAAATACACTAAAACTTTTACTTTAAAAAAGTTGAAAGAACGACACATTAATAAAGTTTCTTTGACTCGGTGAATTTCGTCTGAGATTGTCAAAGAGGAGACAACTTATCAATGTGTTAGCTTCAGAAACTTAGAGAGTTTCCTCCCTTCCCTTCCCTTCTGCTAGAGAACTAAGATCGGTGGACAAAGCTCTAAATATGATGAAGGTTCACCTCAACAACAGATTTAAGAATAGCATAATATTTCTTTTTGTATCACAGTAACCATAGCAACAAGGCAATAGACCATAACATCATAATATCATTACTATTGGTGAGTAGAACAACTCTTCAACATTTTTCTGGGTTCAAAAAGTGGAGACAAAACCATTGGTGATTATCAGCGCAAGCAATATCAAATAATAATAATAATAATAATAATAGATAGCATTTGTATAGCACAAATCCCTGCTCAACAACAAGCTCTATGCGCTTCACTATCTATACTATTACCTCAGCAGACCTGAGAGCATTCTGAAACAACCTCAACTTCCTGGGAAGCGTACAATGCAAGCGGCCATTTATAGGCGCTAAAACACTAACATACTGACAAGATCTTTCGCTGTCTATAGCCGGGTACCCATTCCCACCTGGGTGAACTGAGGAAAATAAGTGTAAAGTGCCTTTCCCAAGGACACAACATCAGGCCCGCAGCTCGAACCCCCGACCCCGCAACCTCACGATTACGAATTTGGCGGCCAAACTACTAGGCCACCGACGCCACAGTCAAACCTCGTTATACCACCACCCTCGGGACGAGCATGAAGTTTGCAGAACAGCGGGGCTGGCGGTTAGTGTGGTTCCTCTGTAGTGTAGCCCCAGCTGCCCAACATTAAGTAGCAAGAATTTGCCGCGTGGTCTGTGTTTGAAAAGTGTCTTTTTGTTGGTGATATACATGTACATGCATATATTCAGAGCCGAGAGTCTTTTTTCTCTCTCTCTCTCTTTCTGTCTCTATGTCTTTCTTGTGGGAAAAATCTCTCTGTCTCTCTCTCTGTCTCTATGTCTTTCTTGTGGGAGAAATCTCTCTGTCTCTATGTCTTTCTTGTGGGAGAAATCTCTCTGTCTCTATGTCTTTCTTGTGGGAGAAATCTCTCTCTCTCTCTGTCTTTCTCGTGGGAGAAATCTCTCTCTCTCTCTGTCTTTCTCGTGGGAAAAATCTCTCTCTCTCTCTGTCTTTCTCGTGGGAAAAATCTCTCTATCTCTCTCTCTGTCTTTCTCGTGGGAAAAATCTCTCTCTCTCTCTCTCTATGTCTCAATGTCTTTCTCGTGGGAGAAATCTCTCTCTCTCTCTCTCTTTCTCGTGGGAAAAATCTCTCTCTCTCTCTCTCTATCTTTCTCGTGGGAGAAATCTCTCTCTCTCTCTCTCTCTCTCTATCTTTCTCGTGGGAAAAATCTCTCTCTCTCTCTATCTTTCTCGTGGGAGAAATCTCTCTCTCTCTCTCTCTATCTTTCTCGTGGGAAAAATCTCTCTATCTCTCTCTCTGTCTCTATGTCTTTCTTGCGGGAGAAATCTCTCTCTCTGTCTCTCTCTCTCTCTGTCTCTATGTCTTTCTCATGGAAGAAATTCCTCTCTCTCTCTCTCTCTCTCTCTCTCTCTCTCTCTCTCATGGGAGAAAGATTAACCAGTAGTCAACCAGTGGGCGTTGTGAGCTGTGTGCAGTGTGTGCCTCTGGCAGTCAGTTCGCTGGCCGTGGGGAGGGGCAAAATTTCCATTAGTTAAATAAGGACCATACAACTCGGACAATGGGTAGACGGCGGTGTGAAGGCGTAAATACAAGGTATGTAGACTAAACTTCCTTTTGGTACTTTGGCAAAATCTGATGGTAACCAGTGCTGGCGGTATAACAAGGTTTGAATGTAAAAGCAAACAATAAAAAGGAAGCACGAAGCAAAATTTCTCAGTGCGACGTATGAATGAATAAAGATACACACCAGAAGAAACTAAAAAATCTTTCCTCAGATTATAGATACAATTCCATATATATATATTACATAAATGCTGAACAAGACAATAACACAACAGCGAAAAAATGGGAAAGATGAGATCAAATCAACTGGCGAAAAATAATTTCAGAATTTAAAACGTTATCATTATAATCTATAGTGGAATTATACCCTCAGAGAGTTAGAAATGACTAGTGACAATTCTATTAAATGCTGAATGGATTTCGCCCAACAAATTATGTTTCTCTGTTGTGCATATATTCTACAATAAGTATGCCAGGGGACACATCATTATTTTTTCCATTCGTTTAAACCTCTAAAAAAATACACAATGTAGGACAGCTTATGGGACTGATATCTTTACATATTATATTTGTGAAAGTTCGTCACTTCAGCCGCCTCAAACTTCCCAACCACTTTACTTTCAAATTTGACAAAATTAATGGTGGTTCAGGATCATTTAAAGGGTGCACAGTTTTATTGAAGAGCCTGAAGTCACTGTAGTTTAATTTTCAGTTATTTCATTAGTTTCGTTAAGATCTAATCTTAGGAAAGTCCGTCTTCTAAGACGCCATTGTAAACAGGTGAAATTTCCGTTCACTAACCGTGCGCCCCTTTGAAATTCTGGAATGTACAACCACGAAAGCGGAATAAAGAATCAATCTATATATCTCTATAATATCTAGACCTTCTAATTTTTTTCATCTCTCAAGATGTATTGCTCCATTCCAGTAGAGTGAAAATGTAGTAGGCCAATGACTCTCAGTTGATGTTATAATACAGCAATCATTCCTTTCATCGAAAGGGGGTCCAGTTAGTTGATAATATTTCCAGAAAATAATTACCCGTCATATCAATAGAATTATAGCTTTATGTGAAGCAGCCTCCTATTGAGCTTATGTAATTCTAGTATGACAAAATCTCTCAGTGATATAAAGTAAATGCATGAGGAATATGGTATAACAAAATGCCAACTTCTTTGGTTTCAATTATTTTATCGAGATCGCACAACCGCAACAACACCCAATCTTGAAATACTGAAACATAACAATCTTTTCCTCGTAACAGTGACCAATTTTATGTCTCTCTTACAAAGAAACTTAATTTAAAAAATGTCAGTGTTTTACGCCCAAATAGATCCAATTTAGACCTTTAGAAAGCGGGCTTCCAGCCTGCCTGTCAGGGCCAACTAGGGCTGAAAGGAATGCAACATCCCAGCAGAAAGATCGAGAAACTGGATAGAAATTCTCCCCATATGGGAATCAAACTCAGGTCTTCTGCATGCGGCGGCAAGGAGCCTAACCATTACACTACAGACACTGGTGTTTAATCAGTATCAGTCTAAGACAACAAAACAAGTGAATAAATCGTAAGTGACTTGAGGTGAGAGATAAAAGGTTATAAATATAACACAAGAGACAGTGGAGTCCGCTTAGATCGAAATCTGCAGGACTGCCGGATTTTCTTCGGTTTCGCCGGGTATTCGGTTTAGAGAGGAGGCTAAAATAGTAGAAAAAAAGTTGTGGATTTTTATTTCCCTCAGTTTACCGCCGTTTTCGGATTAACCACGTTCAGTTTAAGCAGACTCCTCTCTACCTTTTGTATCATCTAAACCTCCAATAAAGATTGATTTCAAATGACATCAGCACATCAGAATATTCAAAATTATGCTGTGACAAAATTATTACAACTAGGTTATTACACCCAGCCCTCTTAAAAAAGCCGATGAACTGAGCATAAAACTGATTCATTGTGACAACTCCATAGCAACCATCATACCTGAATTGTATAAAAAGTTAGCTGATTTACATAATTGCTGAAGACGTGAAGTGTCCGACGCACAACGCATACGCCACAGATGTGACGATCACCGGTGTCTCTTACATCTCCACTCTCACTCACTGTCCCCGTGGTTTTATGCACCCCGCATAATTCAGCAAAATTGGATCATTTTTTTGGCATAATTTCTGATTATTTTCCTTTATCATTCTTTGTTAAAATTAACAAAATCGCATAATTTCACATTTTTGGGCTCAGTTTGCATAATTTCAGAATTTTTTCCTTGCATAAAACAACAGGGACAGCATTCACTCACTCACTTTTGGGTCATTCCATGACAAAGAAAACTGCAATGACACATGGAACGCTGATATCGGAAATGATGACCCGCAGAAAAAATTCTAGGCACTTCTTTTTTGTAAGAGGCAATCTTCCTCTAGCGACCTCCCCTAAAAAAACGATAACACAAAAACAAAAATATAAAAAACAACCTCCCCCCTACTCCCCCCCTGACAATATAATTTTTAAAAACCAAAAAAAACAGGTATCAACAGGAGTGGATTCACTGGCTGGACAGCTCCTCAATGACGTACTGTATCTTCCTGACAGCTTTGTCCACGTCCTCGTCACTGACATCATGGTGTGTCACGTACCGCACTGTCGTCGCGGTGAACGGCAGCATCCGCACGGAGACAGCCTCGCCCAGCGCCGTCTTCTCTCGGTCACTCACCTGGCATGGGAGGAGAAAAAATCCACAATTCCTTCACAATCTGCGCAATCACCAAGGACCTTACAACAAATGGACCCTCCTCTCTCTCTTCGCGGCAATGCGCGCAGCGCGCCCAGCGGAACTTACAAAATGGCCGCCAACCATGGTCACCCAGCGCAAACTGCAGTTTTTTTCTTCACAAAGGATATATAGTAGGGCTGTGCAGTGGGCTAAGGTATGGGAGGGATTATGTGCAAAAAAAGGGGGTGAAGGTGGTGGGGCTGGCCTGGGGAAGTTAGATGAGAGAGAGAGAGAGAGAGAGAGAGAGAGAGAGAGAGAGAGAGAGAGAGAGAGAGAGAGAGAGATAGTCTTATCTTGTCACGCAGAAAAAGACTAGAAGGGTCAACCATGACCTTACCACGTGGACATCTTGGCTAAAGTAAGCAGCAACGATCCAACTTTTAGCGCACTGGTAAACTACATGAGCGATGGACTGCGCTGAAAGGCTTCATAAAATAACATCATGTGATGTCGCAGAAGAAATCCATGTCCCCAAGTCTATTTGGCAAAACCAGCACCTCTATTATAAACCTTATCAATAATCTCATGCAGACGTATCCCAATTTCAAAAACTTTGTCACAAACCTGCCCCTTAACAGCAAATAAACGTCCATTGAATCTTGGAATTCACAGCGCACTTCAAACCCCTATCACGCTTCACTTTCATACGGTCTAACAGGATCTTATTCGGCCTTGATCTAAGTCTTAAATATCCCCATTGCAAGTCACTGCACAAACTTCACAAGGCAAAGCTATCTATATCGGCGCCACAATAATACACCTCTAGCGAATGAAAGATCGAAGTGAAACTCTTTCAATGGGTAGCTCTGGAACGAGCGCTGATTCGAAACAGCGCATAGACAGGGGATATAATATACAGCGGGTGAAGCAATATCTTTCCTCAAGGTGGAAAAGGGGGAGGGGGGGTGGTTGAAAACAGAGAACACGGAGCAAATTGTGTTCATACTGTTTATCAGTACAACTGAGGAGTCGAAGGCACCTTCAATTCTAACCTGAGGTAAAAAATAACAAAAGAGAAGAAAAAAGACAAAACTCAAAACGTCAAAAGAGCAGAGTTTGAAAAAGAAAATCTTAAGTCGCAAGGATGCTTTTCTTTGTACAACCAAATGGACAGACAAAAGAAGTATCTTCATACCAGTATCACCTCAGTGTGATATCCACTGTAAGACCACGAGCCGAGAAAGCCACTCAATAAAAGACAGGCTGGACCAAAGTAATTCGGAAACGCATCCTTCCAGCACATGTGTGCATACATCTCTGGTCACCTCCAAACGACATAGGACACACACACGTGTGGTACGTGTCTACACACCGGCTCGTGAGGAGAATAAGACGCAATGAAGAATGCACGTATGGAAACCATTATAAAAAAGCAAGGTGTTGGAAGCGGCAGAAATCATCAGGACTTTGCCATCACGGCTCACAAGAGCCCCAACAAAACTAACTGACCTGGAGCGAGCCACAATGCAGAAATGAGACAAGTAGTGGTCGAGACGACCAGCAAAGACATAATAAGTGGGGATCGGAAAGAAACGTGCCAGTCGTCGTCCTCCTCCTCTTCCTCCTGCCCACTGATAACGGCAACCTGCAGAGAAGAGAGGATCCACTCCAGCCAACGTCACACACGGTTCTCATGCTCAAGACGCGTCCAGACGCACCGTAAGTCCGTGACGCCGTGACGCTGTACAGCCGCACGCCTCTCCCGTCCGTCCGTGTCGCAACAACTGCCAACACTGAGACAGTCAGTCACAGGAGAGAGGGGGGTAGGCATACCTGTGTCCCTGGGAGCCCTTATCGTGAGCAAACATTGGCCGGCTTCTTACATACAGGGCAAACAACAGGCCAGAGGGATACCCCCTCAGCCCCACCTCTACCCCCTTTTTACCCACCCATCCCATCCACTCGCACGGAGATTAGGAAACCAACCAGTGGTGGCCATCCACATCTACTATACAAAGCTACCCCCCCCCCTAACTTCTACCCCATCACACTATTTCCTCTGTCTCTCTCCCGTTTTTTGGGTACATCTCCACCCTTTCCACCCTCAGCGTAAGTTAGAAAACAACCACACACTAACTGTCATCTTTCGGTTTTTCGTACTGGTATAAGAACGAACTCTTTAACTACATGGCGGCAAAACTGCTACCTCCACCTACAGGCCCCACCCCTCAGCGTATGCCCATACTAATGATACAGCAAACAAAGGAAATATCCCCCATTACCCACACCCGCTGTCAAAGTTCCCAAATTTCGAACTACGGTAAGAGGACTGTTTTTCTTTCCACGTTTCATTATCAGCGTCAGAAAGACCACTTGAGCAGAGGGCAAATAGGTAGGTAGGCCCTGAGCTCCGATGCGCCAGAGACGGGTGGGCTTCGTATTTGTGAACATTCCTCCCAAGCAAAAACAATAAAAATGCAACACGTGCTCTTCGAACGTTTTTTCCAAGAACAGGAAAAAACAGGTAGGCATAAAATGCAAATCATGCACACAAAGGTCAACCTTGACCAAAGCAAAGCGCGGTGAGCACCTCACCTGAAACCCCAGTGCGGCTTCAGTCGTGGCCTAACGCCCTACTAGACGCAGAACAGGAACTATAGGAGTTAATCTATGACTAAGGACAAGCAGAAATAAAAATGGAAACAGCGTAAAGCTAGATGATATTATGTAGGCCAAGGAGACACTCAGAAAACTCGAGAAATGCCTCTCTCATGGCGGGAAATGGAACAGCTTCCATATGTACGATTCACCAGTGCTTATTTCTATCGCAAACAGCTCGGGAGATAAAAGCTGTCCCGCTCCCCGGGGCAGACAGTGGACGGAATATTCCAAACGACGCCCCCTTGTGTTCTGCATTTTCAAAACCCCGGGGGGGGG